ATTCCATAATCAAAAGCAAGTAAATGAAGGCCCAAAGTGCAAACTAACCTCTAGTTAGAAGATTGGCATGGTAATCCATAAACCACGACCAACTTAACACTGTTTCGGCCTGGGTCTCATCAGTGCAGTGTAGATTCTAGGATGGGGATGAAGCTATAAAGCCACCCCAAATGATTCCACATTTGTGGTACCATTTAAACCATGTCAGAGTGCTCAAACTAGAAACTAGTGAACTTCGCACAATTGCACGACATGACTCATCCTAATAGAGTGCTCAATTTGGACATAAAAGCAAAGCTTTGTAATGCCAAAGAGCTATATCAAAATATATATAAATATAAAGTGTAAATTTTTGACTTTCGGTAAACAGTGTTCAGTATATAGGAGTAGAACGATGTATATATTGTGGGAGGAAAAGACAAATAAACTACAAGTTCATCCTTACAAGCCTGTTTCGTGGTTGCCCACTCATCAGGGGATTTAATGAGAATAATCTTTACCATCGCTTATGTGCAATATAATATAATTTGTGCAGCGCGAAGTTTAATAGTTTAGTTGTTGCGTAGGAGGGCTTTGTTTCTGTGGCGGCAGGAAGGCACGAGTTCATGACGTTTGTTTAGTGTTGATAATTCGGGTCGACACCGCATCATTCCACCACGCTAAACACAGAAACTCCACCGAACTCAGCAAGCACATCTGGACCCTCAAAGACAACAACATGGAATACTTTATTTCCTGGCGCATTCTCTCATCACACTCGCATATAACAGTTCAAGTAAAACTGAGATGTAATCTCTGCCTCAAAGAAAAATTGCTAATCATATGCCGATTGGCTTTGCTCCTCATTTGCGTTTCGATTTCCGTGCTACAATGCTCGATACATAAAATAATAAAATCTCCTGATGAATGAGCACTCACGAAACAGGATCGCAGGGATGAAAGCATAGTCTTTATATTTTTCTAACCCAACATATATATTTATATTTATTTCTATATCAACAAAACGTTTATTTTTCATTTTTACTAGAGATGTTCGACAACCTCTACCTCAAATACGACTTGGTCTTTCTGTGTCCCTCGGAGCTGGACAAACCATCTTTCTTGCTGGAATAAATGCCACAGAAAATAAGGTGAGTGGCTATCTTACCATTCGTGGAATTCATTCAAAGAGATCAATCTTGAACCAAGCGAGAAGGAAATAGAAATGAATTCTCTGGTATTTCCTTCCCTTTCTTCTGCAGGCTCTGTGTATCACATCAGCAGTTCTTATGCAGTATTTCCTGATGGCAGCTTTCGGTTGGATGCTGGTCGAGGGAAATTATCTCTACCTGTTTGTTGTGAAAGTTTACAACATCAACACCAAAATGTACCTTTATCACGTCATGTCATGGGGTATTTTAGCTTTTTATTTGTTCTTGTACTTTGTTGTGAACTATTTTGTTAACTAACTGTAGCATTTTGAGTCGTTTTCTACTTTTCTGAAAGGTTTCCCCGTCGTTATGGTGGCCATTTCATTGGGCATCGCTGCTGAAAAAGATGGGATAAAGAGCTATATTAGTGATGAACAGTAGGGTGGAAATTTTAATTTTCTTTCTCTCACTCCTCCTTAGTAGTTTTGTCAGTTTCAGTTTTGACGGTGATGTCGTTTCATTTGGGTTTTTTAGCTCTTCTCTCTTCGCTATCTTTTAATCTGCCCCTTATCTCCATTGATTCTCCTAATGTTCATCATTTTAGGCTAGCTTCAGAAATGGGCTTCCTTTGCTATAAAGATCGAGACTTCGCGAACAATACACGATTGATCAGCATGACTCATACATCATGAAACAAATGATTTAGTATTCATTTACCTACAATGTCTTTTATTGTATGGATGTCACTTTCAGATAAAAAAAACTGTTAGGGAGTTTTTGAAACTGAAATCCACGAGTACTTATATTTTCTCGCCCTCTCCCTAATATTTTTTGTTTTCTCCTTCGTTTTAGTTGTTGGATGTCCTCAGCTAACAATTTGATTTGGATATTTATTTCATTTGTGGTTGTCATTGAAGTTGTAAGTCTTGGATTAGGATCAATCCATATTTCTTTTGACATTATTATTCGAGATTCTGATTTTAACTTAATATGTGCAACAGCCATACCTCAATAAAACATTTTATTCATCTTTCGTATTTCAGATCAACATTTTGATACTCGCTCGGGTCATAAGGGAGATGACTACAATGCAGCCAAGAGGAGAAAAGCAAATGCAGCAAATACGGTATGATCGAATTTCAAAATACGATAAAAAGAAGTACAGTTCCGGCCGAAGATCAGATTGAAATATTATCAAATCTGTTCTCTCGGTAAGATTTTCAATATTATTTTTAAAATAATATTTTTTTATCATATTTCCCTAACCTCCTCAGTTGTTAATCGATATCAGCGAATCATGGGTATTTCTGACTTACAAAAAAACTTTTGAAGAAAAGATATAAATTGATAATCCCCATATTTCAAACCATTATTGTCCTTCAGACTTGGCATTAGAGCATGCGTGGTGATGATTCCTCTACTGGGTATCACGTGGCTATTTGGTCTTCTTTCGCCTGTACACAAAGCTTTTTCCTACATTTTCACCATACTCAACTCCACTCAGGTGAGTCTAAAATACGATATAGTAAGACATTTTCGCCATGAAGAGATAAAATTTGCTTCGACAATTATTAAAAAGATATACATGTAAGATGATAAAGCTGAGAAGAAAGAAAAAATCAATGACAAACACCTTCTGCCGCTTTTATGTGATTCTCGTAACTTAAGAAGTTGCCTGCTTCATTGTACTCTAAGTCATTAAAACAAAAAACAAACAAACCAATTAAGACTTTCTTTGTATAACGTGATTTACATTTTGTTAAAAAAAAGATTTATATCGAAAACGTGTTTATTTTTCAAGGGCTTCCTGATTTTCATTCTTCATTGTGCTCGAAATAGCCAGGTAAGTTTAAGATGAAAATGATGTATTATGTAAGGTGTGGATAGTGATGTTTTAAAACTAATTTAAACATCGGGATGACATTGTATTCTAAGATTGAAACAGGAAAAAAGGCTTTCAAACGACTTGTCTTTCTGCAGATTAGAGAGAAATTCAATAGAAAGGTGAATACCGTTTTTCCATCTGTTAGCAATGGAAACTCCACAAAGAAGAGTTCACAGGATAATCCAAGTGATGTTAATGAGGTGCGGGTGGTTAAATTGCAGTCTTGCAATGAATTTGATCAGAAAAAAAAACAACCAGCTCAAGTAATTAGATATTAATGACCACGTGAGTTAATTGTTGTGTGTAATAATTTAGGCTGAGTCTTTGTTGATCATCCAGCTTCGATTTATCGCTTAATCTAGGAACTTCTGATCGTCTCGTTGATTGAATAGATATC